TGCTTGGTTAGAATATGGCCCTTGGCCTCCATAATATTTTCTATCGTCGGAAAAATAGCAGGAAACTCACCCAACAGGAGCTGGATTCCAGATGAGTCGGTTGGAGTGGCTATTAGTTGAGTTTTGCAGCACTGACCTCAACAGTTCAATGGACCTCAACAATTCAACGGTATTAAAGTTGTCAGAAGACATTTGGCTGGGATGTCTGAGTTCCAGGCTGGCCTGGGAATTGGGGAGAGAGAAAGAGAGGGAGCGCGGAGGATAACCTTTGGGGTTATGCCCGTGACTTAATCATCGAGGGCTATGATTGTATGGATTTTATGTCCCAGCCTTTTGTAAATCACTGGAAGTCCTCGCGGGGGCTGGAGGTATGTAAATGCTATTATTAAATGAATAAGTAATGATGTTGCTTTAGTGTTCTGCCTAAGAAAACTCTGGGTTGTGCGTGTGAGAGAGAGAGAGAGAGAGAGAGAGAAAGAGGGAGAAGAAGAGAGAGAGGCAGGGAGGAAAAAGGGAAGGAGGAGAGAGGGAGGGAGGAAGAGAGTGAAGGAAGGAGAAGAGAGGGAGGAAGAGAGGGAGGGAGGAAGTGGGGGAGAGGGAAGGAGGAGAGAGGGAGGGAGGAAGAGAGGGAGGAAGAGAGGGAGGGAGGAAATGGGGGAGAGGGAAGGAGGGAGGGAGGAAGAGAGACAGGGAGGGAGGAAAAGAGGGAAGGAAGGAGAGAGTGAGAGAGGAAGGGATGAAGAAAGAGGGGAAGAGGGAGGGAGGGAGGAAGAGAGTGAAGGAAGGAGGAAGAGATGGAGAAAGAGGGAGGGAGGGAGGAAAAAGGGGAAGGGGGGAAGGGAGAAAGAGAGAGGGGGAGAGGAAGGGAGGGAGGAGGAGAGAGAGAAGGGGAGGAAGAGAGACACATTATGTTTAATCAATATACGCAGTCTGATTAACCCATTATATCTGGGTTTGTGCCACACAAGGAATCATCAACCTACTGGTAGAGAAAAATGAACAAAATAATTCAGTCGTAACCAAAGAGTAGCAGCTCTTGTGCATGCAATCCCAGCCATTAGATCTGCCTTTGTTAAGCAGGTTGTGTGAACCCAGCTTTTGGGTTCCTATGTATGCGTGGATCCGAATGTAAGCAAGAATTTCTCTCTTCCGGATCATTCCCTTCCTTCCCGGCTGTTGAAGGGAGAGGGAAGAGAATGCATGCTTCATTTGCTAATTGCCTGTATGCTTTGCTTTTCTAATATATTTCATTTGATTGCTGGGGATGTATCGTTTAATCAATATTTGGCCGATACGGATTGGTGTTTACTCATTCCGAAGTCAGTTCAGTCAGGCTGCAGGATCCTGATGCCAAAAAAAAAAAAAAAAAAAAAAACGAGAAAAGAAAGCATAACAATGCAAATTTCTCCAATCCAGACATTGGTATTGCAATTTTCTTCTCGTGTATATTTCTTTTGGGCAGAAACTACATTGCCCAGTTCTGGGACGTGGAATGTTGAAGGCCAGCAGCCTTCTGATACACAAAGAAATCCCTAATGTGCAAAATAAATCCCTTCCTGTAAAATATGTCGATCCAATGAAATGTGAAATAATGGTCCCTTAAAGGGATGATCGTAAGCAGTGCTGGGATTCAACAAAAATTTACTACCGGTTCTGTGGGCGTGGCTTGGTGGGCGGGTTGTGGCTTGGTGGGCGTGGCTTGGTGGGCGTGGCAGGGGAAGGATACTGCAAAATCCCCCTTCCCTCCCCACCCCACTGACCTGCTTTCCAGCTCCGTTGTCCTGTGCAGGGCAACCAAAGAAGACCCAGCCAATCAGCTGTGGGCGTGGCTTGGTGGGTGTGATGTTCTGTGGGCGTGGCTTGGTTTGGTGGGCGTGGCAGGGGACACTGCAAAATCCCCCTTCCCGCCCCACTCCTAGGAGAAAGTTACTGCAAAATCCCCATTCCCTCCCCGCCCCACTAACCTGCTTTGCAGCTCCGTTCTCCTGTGCAGGGCAACAAAAGGAGATCCAGCCAATCAGCTGGGACTCGGGAGGCAGAGAATAGGAGGGGGCGGAGCCAGTCGGAGGCGGTATTGGCCAGTTCTTTAAACTACTCAAAATTTCCACTACCGGTTCTCCAGAACCGGTCAGAACCTGCTGAATACCACCTGGTTTTAAGTCAAGTATTACCTGTATTAAATGTAGAGGTTAAAGAGAAATTGTGAACTGATGAAGTACAATGTCTCTCCTTACTAAGGAGCAAAAACAGATGACGGTTACTGAGTTCACGCTTCCTTCTTGTAGGGTTTGAGGGTGGAGAAATCTGAATGAACCCAAGAAAGAGAAAGCTTGCTTTGTTCGACTTTTGATCTGCTCTCACCCTGGTCCCTCTTTCTTGGAGTCATCTATATGGGATCCGAAAAAGGAGGATATTCTGCAATTGTTTTTATCTCTGGCTTCCTGCGCAATTAAATTTTATGGCAAAATTGTTATGCTGTGTTAATACGTAAAGCTTTCCTCCTTTTTATTGCCTGTTTATTTTTTATTGCCTTTTCAGAAGGGCTATTAGAAAGGCTCGCGCTCTTCTCCGTGTGAACTCAGTCAAGCAGTGTATTAAGGCTTCTTGATTCAACCCTGATGTTCATCATCTGGGCTGCCTTCTGAATTTTCACCCTATTTTTTTCCCCAATCCTCAGGTGTCTTCGCTTGGTGGACCTCCTGAACAACCCATGTGGAATACTTCCTTCCTGTTCCAAGGAAGGGATGGTGCTACCGCTTTTTCAGATGATACGGCCTTGCTCATTGAATACTATAGTTCGAGTAAGTCCCAGGTGTGCTGTGTAACAAGGAACTGGCATCTTCTTTCTAAGAGATGAGAAGGAGCTCAAGAAGCTTGCCAACTCTTCCCAGGTCATAGGTCATCGTAAGAACCGTGCTGTAGGGCATGGTAGCATCTAAGGTAGGGTCCAGAGCTGATAGAAGACCCTCTTGCAGCTAGATAATCAGTTCAAACTTAGTTAACAGGATGGAAAAGAGTATTTGTAGCTCAGGGTTGATCTGTGGGGTCCTTGGTGCTCTCTGAGCTTGGTTGTTTCTTGAGGACATTTCATGACCCAACTAGGTGACATCATCAGTGCTGGTAGGGAGTGGGGTTGGCTCTCTGTTTATTAACAAGTGGCTTGCCCTGTCAGTCTTGGTGAGAGTGGTCTTGATGGTTCCTGTATTAGACTGGCCCCAGTCTAAAACCCATTCCCTTGTTGCACTGATGATGCTACCTAGTTGGGTCATGCAACGTCTTCAAGAAAGCAACCAAGCTCAGAGAGCATCAAGGACTCCTTGAGAAGCCTCATTGAATGGTATCCCAACTAAGGGTCCATTTGGTTAAGGGGTCTCCAACGCAGAACATTTTAGACTAATTTTTGAACATTCATCCTAGGTCCACTCCTATCCCAGCATTCCCAAATATTGGTTCAATGTAGAAACCACGCATTCAGTCTCAACTTTAAAACCCAGAATGAAGTCTGAATGGGAAGACTTTGAAGTCTAAAATTAGCAGATTCTGAGAAAGAGAAATCACTTCGTTTTATTTTACCTTTTGTATGCCTCTACAAAGTAAGGGGAAGCTAAACCACTCTCTGTTCTTCTCCAACACCGCCAGCACCAGGAGAAGATCTGGAAGGCACATCAAAGTTTTTAGGCTATTCCGTGCTGCCACTGACCAACCGAGTTTACCGAAAACTTGCGGCAGATAGTAGCCGAAGTGGAATTAGGGTAGAAAATCTACCCATCCAGGTAGGAATGGATGGATCAAATTATATTGGAATAATGTTGTTGTTTTTTAATGGATGAATTACATCACATTTGTGCTCTAGGTCATTCTCTTCCTGTTGGGCCAATTTTGAGATGTATGGACTTCAACTCTCAGAAAGCCATGTTGGTTGGGGAATTCTGGAGACTAAAGTCCACACATCTCAAAGTTTCACAGATTGGAGAACACTGTTATAGAATAGTATGGCATTGGTTCTGTCTCAAGCTGTCAACTTAAATGACATGGATATGTCTTAGAAGAGGGTTCATCTTAGTCTTTGGAATAAGTCAACGAATGAATGAAACTCTGGATGACCAAATGAAGTCCTTCCAGTCTTTTGATGACCGCTTTGTGGAGATAAATAGAGAAGAATTCTCGTTCTCCTGTGCTTCTTGAAAACTTGTTTGAATATCTCCTTTTTAAAAAAAAATACAACTTAGGTTAGCTGGCTGTTTCATTTTCTCCAGCAAAGCCATTTTACAATATTAAGAAGGAAACTTGCATAATCAATTTTATTAAGGCTTTAGAATTCTTCTAAGGAAACGTGAGTAACAAATTCTACCTACTGTGTGGATTGCGTTAATTGGTTTTGCCTTCTGCCTATTATTTTTCCAGGATACCACTATGAAAACCACATCTGGTGGACTCCCAACTGTTCAACTTGGCCTTCAGTTAGTCAATTCAGAGGTAAGGTTAGGAAACAGCCGTTCACAAAGACTTGGTAGCTTCCTACCAGAATGTCAGATGTCTTGATTGCAGTCAATCCTTGGACTTAAGTGGTCGTAATCCATATGGGACTGGAAAAATGAATAGTTCTCATCCTTAATTTCACATATCTCGGAAAAATAGGGGTGTGGAGAAAGAGAGGGGAGGGAGGGAGAGACAGAGAGAGAGAGAGGGAGAGAGAGAGAGACTGAGACAGAGGAGAAGTAGAGAGAGAGGAGAGAGAGAGAGAGAGAGTGTGGTGTTCACGCAACACATTAAACTCTAGGTCTAAGTTAAGAAAACACATTATGAAATAAACCACTTTATCGTTTATTGTGATAGCCCAGTTCTTGTTAATGCTACGAGTAAAGGTAGTTTCCCCTCACACATCCATGCTAGTCTCATTTCCGGCTCTAGGGGGCAGTGCTCATCTCCGTTACAAAGCCGAAGAGCCAGCGTTGTCCGAAGACGTCTCCGTGGTCATGTAGCCAGCAGAACTAAATGCCAAAGGTGCATGGAACGCTGTTACATTCCCACCAAATTGGCCCCTATTTTTCTGCTTGCATTTTTTTTACGTGCTTTCGAACTGCTAGATTGGCAGAAGCTGGGACAAGTAACGGGAGCTCGCTCCATGACACGGTGCTAGGGGTTCGAACCACTGAACTGCCGACCTATCTGATCGACAAGCTCAGCGTCTTAGCCACTGCTACGAGTGGGTTACCACAAAAGGCCAACTCACCAACTACCCCCTCTCGTTTGACCCTAGTCCCATCGGGTTTAAGAATTCAGCCAGGAAAGGGAGACGGGATGGCGTCGGGATCAAAGGGAACAACGCAACAAGTTTCCCAACCTCTACACGTAGCCATGCTTGGAATTCAATTCTTCTCGGGAGCAAAATAATTCATATTCAACCAGTACCCTGGAAACATGTCTTCTGTTCGAAAATCGATGCCTTTCCAAGCTTGTGCGGGCTCGCTCGGCATATGAAAGCTATGCAAATGTGGTATTTGTCTAAAGAGGCATTCTTGCAGAGGGAAACGCACAACAGATGTGACACAATGTTCCCTAATTTTTTTTTACTGTTTCGAACCTACCATCTTGTTAGACCTCTGCCTGGTCTGGGGCTGGATTGAATTAAGTTTCTTTCCATCTCTTCCTCGTGATTCTATCCAAGCCCTGTAAAAGCACCAGAAACCCCAGGCGGCTGGGCAGACGACTCGACTAAAGAGTGAGGCCTCCTAAACCCATTTCATGAATATAGATGATGTTTGACATGGCCTTGGAAAGCGCCCCCCCTGGCTGCCTTCCCTTTCTTCTCTCCGCAGGCTGGCAGTCTTGAAACAACACAGGTTGTTGAGAGCAATTCATAGCTAGGCACCGCTTTTCAGCTCGCCGGGGTTAAATTACATCATGGAAGGATATTGGGTGGAAATAAGAAAGGGAAGAGGAAAAGAGAGAGGGAGAAAACGCGATGATTTTGCAGGCAACCCTTGACCCACAAACCACAATTGTTCTCGGCAGAACCATTTGCAAGACGGGAAGCGGTCTTGAGGGTGACACAAGGAGCATTGCGTCTCCCAAATTCAACCTCTTTTCGTGGCTGCACGCGATATCATAATTCATATAAGAAGGGGTAGAACTTGCTTAGCAATGGCATCCGTCACAGCCACACAGAGGTGGAAGCTCCTGGGAACCAGTGAAGGATCAAGTCAATTCCAAGGTTACATTTCTGAGCTGAGTTCTGCAGCCAAGCTGCGTGGATTGTCATCGTTGGAGACCAGTTTTAATCATCAGGTGGATCGAGAGAGTTTCGGAAGATTGAGCCAATCTAGCCGTAAGGAGGAGCCACAGGTGGATACTAGAGGGTGAGCCGTCTACCAAGAGATGGAAACCAGAGGTGGATCTTCTACTATAGATGATCGATTAGAAGTTTCTAATGATACATCGGGGATCCTGTCTGTACATCCTGCCTGTGTGGTTGTGTTGATTGGAGCAGAACCCTCTTTTTCCTCTAGGACCTTGACATGGTGTCCATGATGCTATTGTGTTCTTTCTTCCAACCTGGGGCCAAATTTACACCTAGCGGGTTACTTCCTTTGCTCTTTTCATCTGGAGAGTCCCCTCCCCCCCACCTTCCCAGGGTTTGGGGCCGGGCTGTCTGGAGAAGCACTTGGGAGAGGAGGGGGTGGGATAGGGGCTCTGCACGTGATGAATTATTCACAGGGGCGTCAGTAAGTGCAGAATTAATCCCCGTTTCTTCCAGCTGGCTGCTGCACTAAATTATCACTCCTGGTCATGCGGGAAAATGCTGCAGAATTCATTTAGCTGATTATTGTTTTGATCTTGGAAGGACTGTCGGTTGTGGAGACCCTCCCCCACTCATGCTAATACACAAATACACAAACAGGAGAGAGGAGGGGGAGGAGAAGGGGGAGGAAGAGGAAGAAGAGGAGGAGGAGGAGGAGGAGGAGGAGGAGAGGTAGAGGAAGAAGGAGAGGAAGAGGAGGATAAAGGAAGGAAGGAAGAAGAAAAATAATAATAAGTAGAGGAGGAGGAGAGGAAGAAGAGGAAGAGGAAAGGAAGAAGGAGAGAAGAAGCAGAGAAGAAAAGCAGGAGGAGAACGAGGACGAGGAGAAGAAGAAGAAGAAGAAGAAGAAGAAGAAGAAGAAGAAGAAGAAG